GCAGATAGTAGCCGCAGGACAACTAATCGACAGTTGAGACAATATTGTCTGGGCGTGATACAAATCTGATGCAATCACAGATGACGCTATATTTTTTAAGGCCAAACAAATTTCATCATACACCCCGAAAATAGATTCATATTACTGCATAATCTAAGGAAAAAATAGAAATCGATTACATCCTGTCATTTCAGTGGGTCTAAAACTGACCGTATAGTGAAAGAAAGGAAACTACAGCGGTTGTCTCGATTAATTTGCACAAGGGTGTAGGTACCGAAATAAAAGATTTTACGAACACAAATATATTTTACAAAACCGCACATTCAACCCATTTGTCGTTCATCGTAATGAATATATCTATCATTTCGATTTTAAAAATCGCTGCTTTAATTAAAGGAGATATTAATTTACTAAGGCGAAAATGTATATAAAGTGCTCTGATTTCGGAATCATTCATGGTAACTGCGCGTTCAGATTCTTGCAACATTTCACCTTTTTTTTAAATAATCATTCTGTTTTCATAATGTGGGTTATTTAAAAATAGCAATAAAAGCAAAAGCAAATTGGCTGAGGGTTTGTATCTAGACACGTCGGACGCCAGAGATTTTAAATTTAACTTTCCTCTTGAACTTTTCGGTGCATAAATATATTACCAAAGAATAAGTACTATGGCTCACAAGCAGATTACATTAAGATCCAGCAACCATTTCTTCTACTTACAAAGCGAAAGTTTCTTATATTTAATATACAGTCTCAAAGTCTTTCAAAAAGAAATCTGAATGTGCTCTGCGCAGTACACATAACTTCATAAGTGAAAACGAGCCGTGAATTGTCAGAAAAGCAATAAAGATGCACACCTTAAGAGATCTGTTGATAAAATCCTGTGCTAACGACGCCAATCCAAATTAATCGCATACAGACGGGACGCTTTTCTAGAACCTATAATTTGTTTATTAAATTATTCGATTTTAACACAAATGCAGGAATGCACAAAATATCAAGAGACTATCCATTTTCAACTAAAGTACGGTGAATAAAAGTCATGATTAAATTCAATTTTAGTTATTTAGGAAAAACAAACAAACAATCCAGACAAGAGTATAGTCCAGTAAAATTAGGTTTACAGTTCATAGAAAAAAAACCCAAAACAAAACGAGTCTGATGTATGCACCAGAACACCCAGAAAAGGCCAAACTCTGTCGTTATCCTTTTCATATGTAAACATTAACGTTGGCTACAATTAATTGAACAATCTATGGAAAACCCCAGTCTCACCCGCATATTAAAAATGACACTGGGGATTTTCAATATGAGCAAAAGTAAATAATGCTCGTAAAACCCAAGAAAAATATTGGCCATTGCACGACCTAAAGAATTTCTCCTAGCAATATGTGATTCATAATATCAATTCTCTGGTAGTATTTTTATCACACATTATTTTAGCTGTTGTGAACATATTTATGTTTTTTTTTCACGATTGACCACTGCAGAGCGAGGAACGATGACTGGTTAACTGTTTTTTTTTTTCTGTTATATTTTCCGATTCCTCATTTAACGGTAATTACTTGCCTTAATTACATTATTCGGGCTGTTATCCTCATCTTCATTGCCATATTCACAACTTTTCGGTCGTTGTACGCCCCGGCCTTCTTCAGGTGATTGGAATTTCGAACCGAACCCTTTATTTTGTCCATCAGGGTAGATTGTTCTAGTTTCACGTGCCATGCTTCTTCCGGATGTCTCAGTTGTTTCCCTTTAGCATAATTCTCCAAGTTTTGGTTCACCACTGCTGTGGTCTGGTATTGAACCAGGGTCTTCATCCACATGGCTTAGTGAATAAAGACGTTGGCTAGATCCAGTGACTAGACCCAAAGAGTTGAGAGTTAAAAAAATATAGCCAAAAAAAAAACAAAAACAAAATAAGTCATTGAAACGTCAGACCTGTTTCTCACTAATATACAGGGAGGTCCGAAAGTCTTTTCACTCACTAACAAAAAGTAATGAAAACAATAGAATAACATGTAATACAGTAGTACAAATCACATGTACTGGATTCAGTTTATTCACTTTTATTGACGTTGTCTCACACATCGAGAAAGTCTGCATGAACACCATCATTTTCGTGGCAAAAAATGATACGGCGTCATCTCCTCTGTGATACTGTACGAAGATGTGCTTTGTTGATTGTTGCAAAGGCTCTCCGAACGGCGTCCTTCAACTGATCGGGATTCTGGTATCGTTCATGTGAAACTCTCTCCTTGTTAATACCCACACAAAGCGTTGAAATAGATTATATTATGTAAATGTGACAAGACTTTCGGACCACCCCGTATAATAAGGTCTGTATAAACATCATCATTTTCGTGTCAGTCATTAGAAATAGAAATTTATATTCTGTAAGGCTGAAGATTGTAATTGTGTCCTTTGAAGTAAAACATTGAACTTCAATGTAGACTTTAAACTAGATTTTTATAAGTATTTATTACATTGTATAAGTATTTATTATATTCCAAATAAAAACACTCAAGTTTGAAACAATTCTTTTAAAGTTTAGAGACGAAAATTTCTCGTAAGAATCGTTTTCAAAACAAATTTTCATTATCTTTGATTCTTCTTGATTCTTTTTGATGCCAATTTACCAAAGAGTAGAAGAACATTTTTAAACTACAGAGTGGTCCGAAAGTCTTTTCACCGCCCATCAAAAAGTAATGAGGACAATAAAAGAAAAAGTATTATAGAAATACAAATCACATGTACTGGATTCAGTTTATTCACTTTTATTGACGTTGTCTCACACATCAAGAAAGTCTGCATGAACACCATCATTTTCGCGGCACAAAATGATGCGACGGCATCTCCTCTGTGATACTGTACGAAGATGTGCTTTGTTGATTGTTGCAAAGGCTCTCCGAACGGCGTCCTTCAACTGATGGGTATTTTGGTATCGTTCATGTGAACCTATCTCCTTGATAGTATCCAACAGAGCGTTGAAATAGAAAATTATATTATGTAAGAGTGACAAAACTTTCGGATCGACCTGTAGGTTATTCTCTGTTTCCCTCTTGCTTTCATGTCCTGTGAGTGTCAAATACTTCTACCCTCTTTTCTCAATATATGTGCCAGAGATTTCTGATTCTACAAGTGTCCTCTTTGTTCAACAAAAATAATAAACAGTATTTATTCATTAGATTGTTTATTTACACTATTTATTAATTATATTGTTTATTGGAATGGTTGGTAAAACATCGGCTAATTCCTAATTAATTCGAACTTTATAAAATTGTAATTAATAAGAATTTATTTCAGTATCTGTCTATATTTCTGAGATGAGGTATTATGTACATTATTTACATTATTCGGACTATTTTCCTCATCTTTGTCGCCATATTTATTACAATATGTCCTCAAGGACACATGGCACAGGGGATAAAAGTTTGGAGGGGCCGTGGCTGTTATGTTGTTGATAGAAGTCAGACGTAGAAGAAACGCATGTAAGGTTCAGATACTCCTGCCCGCCGGGCCCAACTACATAAAAAGGTTGGACTTTGATTAAGTCCAAAGAAGAAGGCAAAGAAAGCAAACAAAACACAAGTCCGATAATATATGTATATACAAATATATATTAATAACAAGTTACAATACACAGAAACAGTACAAAGGACGAAGTGTGTGTGAATATTCTGTATGTGCGTGCGTGTGTGAATATTCTGTATGTGCGTGCGTGTGTGTGTATTGTGCTTAGCGTGTTTCCACGCTATTCCTTGTTAGCGCCTACATTTCGAGGTTGATAGTTGAAATCCTGAAGGAAAAAGAGATAAAGGTGAAGGGTCAGCGGCTATTTATAGCCAGGGAAGAGAGACCCCTGGTGAAAGGGTTAACGGACTGAAGGAGGAGTTAACTCTGACAAAGGCATTAGTTAGATCCAGTGACAGGACCTAAAGAGTGTGAGTTCAATAACTGGTTAAGGCAGTGGAGAACTTTCAGAGGGAAATTAGCAGGAGATAACTGATAACTATGTTACCATTATATAGTTATTTCCTAAGTTTAATTGAGTTTGATATAAGATGAAACAAGTATAGAAATATTGTGTTACGTCATTTTTCGGTGGATACAGTGATAATCATCGTTGGAAATCGCGGTTTTTATTTCTTGCTAAAATCCTGATCTCTGGCACAATTTAGAAATACACAACTTGTTCAGCTACGAGGCAATATCAATTCCTAAACAGCCCTGACTAATTCGAATTGCAAATGTATATAACCTGTGCTCGAAGAGAAAAAAAGAAAATATATGCAATCAGTTGGGTCTCTGTTGTATATTGGTTGTTGCTACCCCCGCTGAGATCAGAGGAAGTCTTGGTTAAGGAAAGAATGAAGAAAAAAAAGTAGATTTGGTAAACAACTCGGTCTTTACTACGCAAAAAAAAAAAAGAAAAGATCTTTGTCATCACCATTAGTTAAAGACGATTTCATTTCTGTTTTGAAAAACAAACAACAGAAGAATCCATTCTCAATTTCTGCAAGTTTTCTTTTTCTTTTCTTTGACTTTTACCTCCTTTTTTTCGTTTTCGCTTTTTTCTGAGTCCTTTCATTCATTCATTCATTCATTCATTCATTCTTTCTTTCTTTTTTTCTGTTATTTTTCTTGTCCATTTTCATTCATTTATTATGCCTTTCCATTCTTTTTTTTTCTATCTATCTATCTATCTATCTATCTATCTATCTATCTATCTATCTATCTAGTCCAGTCTTTCCCTATCTATCTATCTATCTATCTATCTATCTATCTATCTATCTTGTGTGTATATTTTCATTCATTCATTATGTATCTATTTTCTCTTTCTTCTTACAATCTATCTTCCCCTTCTTTAATTCTTTTTTGCCTGTATATTTCCATTCATCCATTAGCTATTCTTTCTTTCTTTCATTCTTTCTTTCTTTCTTTTTACTTGTAAATTTTCATTCATTCATTATGCATTTTTCTTTCTTTTTTCTTTCTTTGTTTGTATATTCCTACTTGCCTTTTATATTCTTAAGTTTATTCAATTTCCACGAAGAAAGAAAAAATCCTTCTCTTTTGAGACGTCATTTCCGCCGAATTAAATACGAAATAGTTTTTCTTCGACGCCATGAAAACTTGAAAAATTTGCTGCTTTAGACAAAATTATAAAAACTGCAGAATTGTAGAACCAAGGAATGTGTATACACTCCATCGAATAGTCGGACAGAGTGCTAAGGGCAGAACAATGGAGTCGGGGTATATAACACCGGTGGATCGAGGTAATGACCGTCAAACCTCTACCCACAACCTCTTTCCTGACAACCTCTAACCTTCCAAATACAAAAGAAACCGAATTTTTAATTAGCTACAAATGTTGACTGATATTTCAATTTTTATTTGGGGTAAACATTTGAAAAAATAATATTACGTTTAGAGCGCAATATTTTAAAATCCCAAAGATGGTTCAGAATATGAAGCCCGGTAAAGAAATCTAAGAGAGATGTAAGGGAGATAATTCAGTATTTGATATTCAGAAATTGTTAAGATGTTAGATATGAACAATGTTCTAAATATTGGTGCACACATTCGTACATAGATTGGCTGCCTGCAGTGAAGAGCAAATTATTCTTCACCCTAAGTTTAGGTTGATGCATTAAAAATTCAGTTTTATTTTACGAAATTTTAAAGCCTGTTCTATGTCGCATTAGTGACATGCATTTTCAAGTTTCAAGTCTGTATTCTATTTCTGGGAAGCTTCCTCTCCAACGTTGATGTTATCACTCATAACGATATCGATTTGACACACATGGTAGGACAATATATCAATAAAAAGCATGTTCATATATATGTCGACAGGTGTCACAGTTGGTCGATATTTACTCATTCAACGTTATAGGGCAGAAGTCGGCAACCTTTTCTTAACTATGTGCCGACTTAGGTTTTTAAAATCATTCATTGTGCCAACAGCATACGTTTTTATACAAGTCAAGGACAATATACCTGTTCTACAATATATTTTAGATAGTAATATATAGTATATATACTTTAGTATATATTAAAATTGAACTTTTTTTAAATTTAGTGCTTGCCGTAATTTTTTAAGGTCATACGAATTTTTTAAATTTTTAATTTTGTTTTTAATAAAAAAAAAAAAACAAATCATATGACCACTTTGACGTCACAATGGGATCACTAGAGTCAGCTGAGTCTTCTGATCTCATAGGTCTTTTTATATTATACAATCTTACAGCACACCGTGAAATTAGTATAATTGACATTGGTTTATTCAGAGACGATGGACTTATGGTTATAAGGAACTCTACTAACTTTAAAATCGATAAAATTAGAAATATATTATATAAAGAATTTAAAAGCCTGAACTTAAAAATTACGGTAAGCACTAAATTAAAAAAAAGTTAACTTCCTTGATATAACATTAGATTTAATGAAAAATTTATACATACCTTATAAAAAACCCAACACCAATCCTTTATATATACACCCTAAATCAAATAATCCTCCATCTATAATTAAGCATATACATTTATCTATAGGAAATGAATAAGTACAAATTCAGCAAATGAGAAGATTTTCTATGAACATATCAATTACTATAATAAAGTCCTAAAAGATAAAAATCTATATAGGATGCACAAGCCATGAGTTCAAAAAAAGGTTCAATCAACATCGAACTTCATTTAGGATAAATAAGTACAGAAAACAGACATCGCTTTCAAAGTATTTCTGACACTTAAAAGAATCCAATAAAAAAACCTACAGTAAAATGGAAATTAATAAGAAAAGCTAGAATATGTAGGTCATTAAATGACCCATGTCCTTTGTGCATACATGAGAAACTATATATTAATAAGTTTATAAAAAATAAAAATTTGCTGAATCAGAGAAATGAAATAGCTATTTTTTGCCGTCATTTTCAAAAATTTTCCTTAAATAATATTTAAAAATAAAATTAAAAAATGGGAGCTGGTAATATACATACTTATATTTGATATGAAAAAATAAATTTAAATAATGTAAGTAATTCTATTGCATTTACTTTTTTTGAAAAAAAGAAATATAGTCTATTAGTTATTAAGAGTAAAAATATTTTAAAATTGTAGTTAAATAAAACGTATTCTAACCTTTAAACACCCCCGGAATGAATCTTTAAGTTTATACAAGTAAGAAAAAAATGACGAAAATCTTTTTGCCGTTAATAATAAAAAAAAAAAACAGACGACATGCATTTAACGGATGTCAGAATTCGTTGAAAAATACACCCCTACCCTCCCTAAACTTGACCTCTTTTTCGAACGTAACTCATAATTGATACAACAATAGTTAATAAAAATGAACACGCTACCGCCCCTGTCTGACTGATTGGATTTCTCTGTATCCTTGGAAACAGTAAATTATGAATTTATATGTGCGTTTAAAACACAGTAAATTTAAAAATAGGTTATTCCAATATTCGTTTGAAGATGAAACGGAACTAATGCCTTTAATTTAATTATATAATCAAATTTAAAGTTTTAGCTTCTATTTTTGACACATGGTTATTACTGTGTAGCGAAAAACATTTTAAATCAGTTAATTTATAATATATATATATATATATATATATATATATATATATATATATATATATATATATATATATATTTACAGGGTGCAAGGGTCGTCTAATTTACGCAAAAATGAAAATAACATAGACACCTGATTTTAACATATATATTTACAAAATTGCAAAAAAAAAAAAAAAAAAAAAAAAAAAAAAGAATATTAAAATGCTAAAGAGTAAATTTATTCAATAAAATCGCTATTGGCTTCAACCACGGTCTCCAGACGACTGCGGAATTTCCTGTAACTCTTCTGGACAGTTTCCTTGTTTAAGTTGGTGAATGCTGCACTAATCCTTATCTTCAATTCATCTTTGGTATTAGAAATTCGCCTCACACATAATAATCAAGGGGGTTGCAGTCTGGAAAGTTAGGTGCCAGATGTAAGGGGTCATGTGGTCTCAGAAATTGTCTGACTGGCTGCTTCTGCTTGTGTGCCATGGTACAGAGTCTTGTTGCCAGATATAGGATCTTCCAGCAGCCATCCTCTTGACCCAGGGCAGCATTACCTCCACAAGGCACTTGATGTCGGCCTCTGTGTTGAGTCTGAGGTTCTGTGCGAAGATAAATGGAGGCATAACGTCACCATCACTAGTGATCACTCCAAACACCTTTTTAATCACCATTAGATTCATCCAACTCTTTCCGAATCTTCTGCACTGTCCTCAGATTGACACACAAACACCCTGAAATATTCGTATTGGTGCTTCCGGTGCGACTGCCAAGCAGTATAGCATGCTGTTTCTAAATTTCTGACTGAGTGCATTGCGTCATGGTGCTCTTTTTCACGTTGACGATTCCCAAATGACCCTACTATAGTGTACATTCGACAAAATAAACAATGCGCATGCGCGAAATTAGAAATATAAAATGGCGACAATTTACGCATCACACTCTATACGCATGTATGTTTGAGGAATCGTATTAAAGAAAATTTGCGCTATTTTTCTTTCATACGATTTCTTGAACTTTCAGGCCGGTAGGCTAAAATAAATAAATAAATGGAACGCCTACTCAAATAGGAGTAGTCACTAAAAATAATGTTTAAAGTGATAAAAATCAGTCGGCTTAACAAAAATACATTCTAATATGTGGAAATTGTATGACAAAGTGGAAAAATTGACTTGTGACTACATCCTTCATCCTTCCGTTGTGCAAATGTGTAGTCCTACCAAACTAACAAAGTTACAGATCGCAACATTTGTCAAGGAGATGAAATTTAAATTTTTATTATTGTAATATTCCAAAATTTTAACACGTTAGCAGATAGCTGTTAATGTCAGCAACTGAGGACAAATAGTTATTAAAAATATTAGTAATTAATATATAATATTATCCATTTATTCATGTCATTGAGCAATTTCCTTTGCCCCACCTGCAAGATTTTCCGGTAGAAATTAAGTTTTGTTTTTTTGTCGATTTTTGATCCTGGCCGGATGGTTTACCGGCCCTACCCGGTTGGGTTTGGTTGGTCCGCCATATTGAATTCGCCTTGTGGTATATACAGTACCCATTCTACAAACTATAGCCACCGGCCGCTTGACGACTGCGTGCAAGCGCATGAAACTAGCAGTCATGGCCGGTCACTGCCTACCTGGATTTTGTTTTAATATTGAAGCTCTGCCATTTCTTATGGCATCGAGCAATTTTTACCATCTAAGTAGCTTTTAGACAGACACTTTTTAGAGCTGCTCATCCTTTTCTAATATTATATATATATATATTCTGTTTTGATTTCCGGAGTTGTTTTTTTCTGTTTTCATTTTGAATTTGTAGGTCTGATGATTTGGATCGTATTTACGATTCCAATGGAATAAATTATGACCATGGAATATTAGTGTTTAAGCCTTTTTTATTATATATATATATATATATATATATATATATATATATATATATATATATATAATTACCTTCCCAGACAAAACCAAACTACTAAATAAACTATCAGAACTCATCTCAAATTTTTACTATGTTACTTAAAACCCGAAAAGAATAAATAAAATAAACAAATAAGCAAAAAGTAAAATAATCCAAATAAAAAAATAAACATATTAACAAACCACTCCCGCTGAAACAACCGTTAGAACGAACTACCCACAATGCACCACTGCCCCCCCCGTATATATAAATAGTCGAGAAAAAACACAACGCATTTGACTTGAATATTGCGTTTAGCATGAAACAGTCAGTCACCTCTGAGTGTTGACTTCAATGTTCACTTTTATATATATATATATATATATATATATATATATATATATATATATATATATATATATATATATATATATATGTATGTATGTATGTAAATATATGTGTGTGTTTCGTTCAACAAAACAAGCTGAACAAGCTACTTTTGTTTAGATTTTTATTATTAT